TGAGAAGATAAGGGAATAATCAGGAATGCAGTGAAGGATATGAGAAAAATGAAGCTTAGAATATTGGGCATGGTTATTTTAGCAGGGATTTTATAACACATTTACCTTATATCCATCCATCTAGTCATCAATGTTTAAAAATGAAGTGAGTAAAACACTAGAAGTACCCTTGAAAGTATTTCTTTTTTAATTCTCCACATTATAAAGCAAAAGATTTTGAGAAATTGGCTATCTTGAAAAAAATAAAAGACATTGAGCCATGTAGCAAGCTAGATGTTGAAATGTTTCCTCATTGTCCAGAAAAATAGTAATTATTTTCATAACAGTAATCATTAAAGCTGAGTACAGTGTAGATATCAATGAAGCCATGAGTTGTGACCACAGAAATTAATTCTGGAGAGATCCAGAGCAATAAAGATTTGATCCACTAAAGAGATTTCTTCTCTTGAGCCAGTCCATGGTGTTCACTAGTACCATAAATGCATTTCCAAAATTTCCTATGATGAACTGTAAATGGAAATTTCTATGTCCCAATTGCCTGGTCCCAAATAAACACACAGAGGTTTAAATTCTTGGTTGGTAGCTCAGGCTTATTACTAACTAGCTCTTACACTTAAATTAACTTGTAATTCTTATCTATGTTTAGCCACATGGCTTGGTACCTTTTCTCAGCAAAGAATTCTCATCTAGGTTCCTTGGCATCTTGCTGGTGACTCCTGACTCTGCCCTTCTCCTTCACATCATCCTTAATTTGGTCACCCCACCTATCGTTCTTGCCTGGCTACTGGCCATTCAGCATTTTATTAAACCAATTTGAGAGACAACTCTTTACAGTATACAAGAAGATTATTCCACAGCAATGAACTCTACACTTAAATGGTGAATGTGACCTGCAGGACAGCACTCACTGTCAACAGAGGATGCTCCAATTTCCACTGAGCTGCTGAAGATTTGTAAATGCAGTCTTCTAAAATGTTATGTATGTCTACATGATTCTTAAGAATTTATAACATACCCATTTTTATAAACTCTCAGATAAAATGTCAAACATTGAGACTCACTAGTGAGTTGGTTCATAGTTTTCTTTACAAACATCTGATATTATCCAAAACAGTCAGGCTGAGTTTAATCCACAAACCCAGGCATCATACATAGCAGCCTGGCATTCTCTGTAGTTGATCCTGAAGGAGGACATGAGTTCCCTCTACTGTCATCTGATTTGGGTGTCTACATACTTTTTCTTGGTTGCTTGATTTCTATACAAGTAAAGTAAAAAAAAAATTCTAACTCACACAGAAGGCAATAAAATCTACACTGACATATAGAAGAATTTCATTAAACACAGCAAAATGATACCGTGTGAGTGATCTATGCATGTTTTCCAAAGTTCTTCCTCAAAGCTATCAAAGTTAACTAATAATCTTGTAGAGGCCATCATTCCTCAGGAATTAGCACTGAAATACTAGTGAATTTTCTTTTTCACAGTTATGCATACACACATGTACATAGACACAAACCAGAAACATACATTTATTTCTGTGCAACCATCCTTCATTTCCTCAACTTAGTAATCCATGTTTATCATTAATTAACATTTAGCATGCATCACACTCTTATTTAGCAATATAGTTGTTAAGATTGTATAAAACAATCTCAAGTATATTTCACACAGTAGTAATGCAAACATTCCTAAAACTTGTAGCTATTTTACCTACGCAAGCAAAAAATTTCTATTGTGAGAAAGAGCAGACAGAAGTTTGCATAAATGCATCTGCACAAGTGTCTTCTTCATTCCCTATGTTTTGCTTGTTAGTATCTCCTAGATCTTCAGATACTATCCATTTTCCTTCACTTTGTTCCAACATCTGCTCTATTATATCACTGTGTGCATCAAGGCAGATAAGGAATGATATACTGTCTAAGTAAGCCTAGAAATGAAGCCCGATATGGCAGGGCACAACTCCTTGTAGGTGGGGACACCTCTGGACTAGTGGTACTCTGTTGTTTAAGAAAGTATGCTGAGCAAGCCATGAGCAGCAAGCCAGGAAGAAGCAATCATCCATGGTTTCAGCATCAACTCCTACCTCCAGGTTCCTGTCCTGTTTGAATTCCTGTCCCTACTTCCTTCAGTGGTGGACTACAATGTGGAAGTGTAAGTCAAATATACCTTTCCTGCTCCAACTTGATTTTGGTCATGGTGTTTCATCATAGCGATTGTAACACTAACAATTTTTGATGTGACATCTGGGAATTTGAGCTCAGGTCCTCATACTTTTTCATCAGTTGACTGACTGACTGACAGACTGACTGCTTAGTTATTTACTCCTCGCTTACTTGCTTACTTACTTGCTTACTTACTTAACTTACTTACTTACTTACTTACTTACTTACTTACTTACTTACTTACTAACTAACTGACTGAGGTATCTTCCTTGGTCCCTCTTTTAATATGTTAAGTATAAGTTGTATGTGCCCTTGCCTTATGGAAATGCAGTGAAGTTCTTGTTTCTTTTTAATTCTATGATGAATTTCAGGCTGAATGTCATGAAAGTATACTGGTATAATCATTCAATCATATTTGAATTTGAGACACTATATTTGAACTATTTCACAATTTAGGTTTTCTTCATACAACTGCCTTCTCTGGCACTTCGGGTATAGGACCTACCTTGTTTGAATTTACTACCTGGAAACATATAAAATAATATTGTGGCCATCTGTATGAAAAGGGAGTTTCCCAATATCAGTGTACTCCCTTACAGATTTGCTTCATGTCCATCTCAATGAATATCAAATTGATTCATGGGTTGTTGTTTTTGATTTCTTTGCAACCTAATAGTGAATGTATGATTGATATAAACCAATGTGGCAGCTAGCAAATTCCCCTACTGATTCTAATCTGAGGAATAAGGATATTATTATATATGAGATTAAAATATCTTGAAGGCTATGAAATACCATGGTACCATAGCCAACAATATTTAATATCAGTGCTCTTAAAGGAATGAGAATGATTACCACAACAAATGTCTTTAAAATACAGAACACGGATTTGATTCTTCTCGTGTTAACATCACGTTAACGTTTTGGGCTCTGCCATAACCAGCTGGAGTACATCACGAATGTAAATTAGCGTTTACCTTAGACTTGCATTGCCCCTGCAATGCTCTCCAGCTAACAGTATGTTCCCTGAGCTGGCATCACCTCTGTCACTTTTTATGTCTGTTAGGTGGTGAATGTCTCCTGATAAATGTTCATCCCAAAAGACACCAACACAATTACTTTCTGTTTCTAAGATGAAGAAAATGCCTGCTTTGTGTCGGGGCTGTGTTACTTCTGCTCTCTGGTCATTTGTTCATTTGCATTTGTGGAATTTCGAGCATAGGGATTGAAACCAGTGCCTCATTCCCACTAAACACGCACTCCAATGGAACTACACCACCACCTCAAACCCTCAGCTTGACATTCTGTAAAGTACAGTGCTAATTAGAGATATTAATAATGTGATCATTGTCGCCTATAAGCACAAAAGGAAGATTGATAAATGACAGGAAATATTCCCAACTAAATAAAAAACTTAAATGAATAAAAGTAAATATAAAAGGTAGAAAGATTCTGATGAAATCCAAAAAGCTTTTAAGAAATATTTTCAAATCCTATATTTCAAAACATAATTGAGGTGTAGCTGAAGTTTTCCTGTGTCCCACCTGGCCCATGGTCAGGACCAAATCTCTCCTACTCACCAGTCCTTCAGCCGCTCGGACCCAAGTAAACACACAGAGGATCATATTAATTACAACTGCTGGGCCATTAGCTCAAGCTAACTACTGACTGGCTCTTACACTTAAACTCAGCCCATTTCTGTTCATCTATATGTCACCACGTGTTCCATGGCTTTGCCTGTGTGCCATTACATGCTGCTCCCTGAATGGCAGGCTGGTGTCTGCTGACTCAGCCTTCCTGTTCCCAGAATTCTCCATGTCTGCTTATCCCGCCCATACTTCCTGCCTGGCTACTAGCTAATCAACATTTTATTTATCAACCAATCAGAGCAACACATATTCATAGTGCACAGAAAGACATCCATAGAAATTGAGGTATCTAGAGAAATTGATATTTCACATTGATATTTTATTAATCATTGTAAAATCTTAAAAGAGCTAGTGATTGATGTAAAACTGTTACTCATATCAGTTCTTACACTTAGATGGTCCATATTCAAACCTCTCTTCATACAGCAATGTATATATTTGCATCTTTTCTGCCAAATCCTGAATTGTTTGGCCAGTGCTTAATGTACATGTAATTTCCCCAAATTCATAAGGTTACATGCAACTGAAAAACATGTGGTGTGTACAAGTTTGTACACACAAGATATTTTTATTGTTCTATCCTACAGCCCACAGCAATCTTTCCTCCCATCATTTCTTATTACCTCACAGACCTGACCACCTCTGGTGGGAGTCTATCTACCTCTCCTCATAATTCTCACAAGAGCCAAACTCCCTCTACCTCTTAGCAACCAGCCTGTATGGATCTAAAATGAGAAGGGCTGCAAACAGAACAGGTGACCTCTATTCCATCACATTCTGACAAGGCCCATTCATCTTGCAGAGGCCCCTTTCAAAGGAATGGCTTTGGGCCATTTTAAACATCTGCTTCATTAAGAAATACAGGCACATGTGATGTCTCTAAGTCTAGTTAGATAATGTTAGCCTGCTTTGGGCTCATTTCCTCCTGGCATAACACCTTTCCTCTTTTCCTACTTTCTCACAAGGATCTTACATGAACAAATTCTTCTCTCTCTTGCAGAAATGATATTCACATCCAGGCCTTCTGGGTATTTCCAGAAAGCTTAGTAGAATCCTGTCTGTCTTCATAATAAACTCTGTCTGAAAGCTGACCCATCTCTGACTCCTTCCTGCATCTATTTCTCCCTAAAAGCTAAGACTTATGAACTGAATTTTCTATAAAATTTGGAAGGTGATTTCTGATATGTTTTAGGGACCCAAGCATTCCACATCTTTGAGTCTGCACCTCAGCCACCAGAGCACAGGAAAGGATGCCTGTCTCAGATGAGTGTTTCCTAGAATTAAGACATAGGAGTGGCCTGAGGGAAAAGCAATGGCTATACCTCGTAAAAACAAAATAATTAGATATTTCTGCTGAAAGTCATCATTCCAAAATTGTAAAAGAATTGACAGAAAGAAAGCAGCATATAATAATAGGAAGATGATCACACTTTGCAGGGTCTTTATGTGGGCTTTGGAACTGACATCTCTGGAACCTTTAGCATTGTGATGCATGTTCTTCAAATGTCTCCATAGTGAGAAGATGAGCAGGAGGAAAGTTATCAGAGAAACAGAGAAAGGGATGAGTGTGAATATAGTGTTAGTGATTAATAGATTAGAAAACTGAGTAGAGTTACTGGAGATAACACTGTAGGACATATTGTCTTTGTGTCCATCAATCCAAACATCAATACATCTGTTTATGACAAAAATGTTTAAAAACAAGGGGAGAAAAGATCCTAGCAGCATCACTAAAACCACTTTTTTAACTCTCCATTTTAGGTATAGGAAAACAAAGTTTGAGAAATTGGCTATCTTGAGAAAATAAAAGATGCTGAGGCATGTAGCAAGCCAGATGCTGAAATGGTTGGTTATTGTCCAGTGTATGCTAGTTATTTTAATGAGATTTTTAGTTTTAATTGGAAATGGGAGCAGCACATATACCAATACATTTGTGACTAGTGTGCACAGAAAAGCAAATCTAGAAATGGCAAGAGCCATAAGGATTTGATCCACTGTAGAAATCGTTCTTCTCTTGACCCAGTTCTTGATGTTCACCAGCACTATGAATATATTTCCTAAACTTCCCATTATGAGTTCAACACTTAAAATTACTATGATTATGGCATATAGAATAACACTCATTGTAACCACTAAGATGCCCTGATTTCTCCTACACACCCAAGGATCTGTTAGTTCAATCTTCCAAAATGTTACTTCTATATGGTTCTCGAAAATTCATGGCATCCATCATAAACTCATATATACAATATCAAGCAAACATTTGATTTACCACTGAGTTGGTTCACACAGTTTTGTTCATAAAACATTTTGTGCTACCCTAGAAAGTATAGGTGAAGTTCATGAAGATAGCAAGTGCCTTCCATACTGCATCCTGATGTCCTTGTAGTTGATGTTGAAGGAAACACTGAATTTTCATGCGCTGTCATCAAAATAAAGATTTTTTTTATTTGCATTGTTTTTCTGTTATGTTTCTCTACATATTAAGTCTGGATACGTTTTTTCTTGACCAGAAATACTACAAACTTTTAACTAAAATAACAAACCATAAAAGCAAACAAATACAGAGAATATGAACTTCATTAAATACATCAAAATGATGTCTGTGTAGGGACTTACGCATGTTTTATACAGTTCTTCTTACCAACTATCAGTTGGTAATAATCTCATTGACACTATTACTCCACCAAGAATACTGAAAATAGCAACCAATTTATTTTACAAGTTCATGCAAAAACACAGTAGCACCCACTAACACAGAGACATACATTTTCTTAAATACAAGCCCTCCTTACTCTTCATTTCAGTTATTCAAGCTGCCATGTACTTATCATTTGTTTAGCACCCAACTCATGCTTAATACTGTTACAATTGACAAAACATTCAATATAATTGCTTCAAGAATAGTCAATCAACTATAACCACTTTGTAAACTTGTGATTCTTTTATCCCTCTACATGAGCAAAACTGGAAATCATCCTACTATGTGATAAAACAGACAAGAGCTCAAATTCATTCACCTGCACATCAAGCACCCTCCTCATTCCCTGCGTCTCTCTTGTTAGTATACCTGTTCCCCCATATACAAAGCAACAAGGAGCTTCATATGCTATATATTTCTCTCTGCATTGTACTGACATGTGCTCTATTACCTTCACTGTAGGTGTCAAGACAGACACAGGATGATGCAGTGCCTAGACTCGCAAGGAATGAAGCATGACATCAACATTCTCCAGGAGCTAAAGGGTAGTCAAAGGAACAATGACACAAATGCATCAGAGTGACCAAGATAACATAGAAAGCTACAGCAAAGGCTTCAGTGAAATTTATGGGTAGTGTACAAGAGTAAACATGCCCAGATTAAGTCGATAACTCATCAAAAGCCAGCTTGAACTACATGATGAGACAGTCTGAAAATAACAACCTTTGAAGATTAAAAAGACATGTAATATTACAATGTGAAGGATGGGCCACAGTCTAGAGCAAAGAATTAAAGAATACACATACTAGGAAACAAAATTAGCCCCGTTATTTAAAAGTTTTGAGGGAAATGACTAAGAATAGAAGCATGACAATACTATCATTACAGAGAGAAGATCCTCCTGGCATGGCTCCTTCACTACAAAAAGGAGGAAGAAGACAATGAAAAGTGCAAACCACCCAGGCGTGGGGCTGAGTGGAGTGAGTGATAGTACTGAAACTTGAAGGTCCAGTCTAGAAAATGATAGAATTTATCATTATCATTCACTGGCAAAGAACTACACTCAACCCAGGTCCTTCCCTGAGCCCTTCCTCTAACCTAATGCTCTGGATAGGAAATATCTGAGCTTCCACCAGAATAGCAGTTCCTAAGAAACAGGCTTTTCCAGACAGAATGACAATGGCACCAAGAGCAGTTCACATTTGTTTTATCTATAGAACACAGGACAGACCATCTCCTCAGAAAGGGCTGTTCTCTTTAGGAATTTCCTCATAAATCTTGTATGTATGTGTATGATAAATCAAAGAATTTCATGCAGATTTTGCTGAGTGACAAGTTTTGTATGCTGTTTTATATGCAAGAAATTAAAGAAGGTTTAGCAAACCACTATTCTGCCTGTGTATCTCTGTATTGAGATCATTACATTTATGATAATTGTACTTTATTTTTTAATGTACTTTATTTTTAATTATGTATATTTGTATCAGTGTATGCCCCTGGGCACCAGAGACATCCCCTGAAGCTAAACCTGTAAACTGTCCGCTATGGCAGTTGTGAACTGAACTCAGATTTTCTGGTCTCCTTCTTTTCAAGAGGCATAAGACGCTTAAACACTGAGTCATCTCTCTAGCCTCCTATATTTTTTATGTAAATTAGACAAGATTCTGGATCACCACTACTCTAATTTTTCAGAACTTCAAGCAACATATTATGAAATTCCATTTACTTTGTTATTGTATTTATTATATTTTTATTATTGAAATATTTTTATTACTATTTTGAGAATACCATACAATGTTCATATCATATGCACCCTCCTCTCTGAAACTCCTCTTGGATCCACCTTCACCTCCCTACCCATGCCATTTTCTATCTATCTATCTATCTATCTATCTATCTACCTACCTACCTACCTACCTACCTATCTACCTATCTATGTATAAGCTATTTCTGTCTTTCTGTTTCACTCTTTCTCTGTCTCTGTCTCTGTCTCTCTCTCTCTCTCTCTCTTTCTGTTTTTTTTTTTTCTTAACCCATGAAGTCCATTTTGTGCTGCCCAATATTTTGGGATATAAGACCTCAGGTCTATGGTTGACTGACCAGGTGTTATATCATTAAAGAAAACAGATTTTTCCCTCTCCTAGAAGTTATCAGTTACCCAAACTCCTCTGTTTGGAGTAGGAATCCATGCCCACTCTCTTAGTTAAGGGTTTCTATGACTGTAATAAAAACACTGGCTAAAACCAACTTGGGGAGGAAAGAGTTTAGTTCACCTTACAACTCTAAGGTCACATTTTTATCACTGATAGAAGTCAGTGTAGGAGCTGAAGACAAGGCCATGGGGAAACACTGTTTAGTGGTGTGGCATATTCTTAGCTTATTCAGCCTGCTTTCTTTTATAACTCATGACCACCTTCCCAGAGTTGACATAACTCAGACTGTACTGGGTCCTCACACATAAATTATGAATTAAAAAATTCCTGATAGACTTTTCTATAGACCAATCTTATAGCACTATGAGTTAATATGTGCAAACACCCATTGTTTCCAGAATATATTTTTCTTCCGCTTTTACAAACTTTTTGTACTCTTTTTCTCAAAGACACTTCAGTATGAGATTGAAGGGGTGTGATACAAGTGTCCCATTTAAGACTAAGTACTCTGGAGATATTCTCATTTATGCAAATGTGACATGGGTATTAAAAGAGTATCCCATCACTTTATGATATAATTGAAGACCTACTACACAATATGAAGCCCATATAAGATTGTATTTTAATATCACTTTCACATTTTGAAGAAGAAAACAGTGTTTGTCCAATATAACACAGACAGGTAGATAGATTTGATAGGTAGTGATGACAGATGATAAATAAATAGATAGATATTGAATATATTAAAGAAAAGTAGACAGATGGTAGGTGATATATAGATTGATATGTAGATGATTATGATGGCAATGATGATGAAGATAGATAGACAGATGTTAGATAGGTAGATAGATAAATAGAAGAAAGAAAGAAAGAAAGAAAGAAAGAAAGAAAGAAAGAAAGAAAGAAAGAAAGAAAGAAAGAAAAGAAGAAAGAAAG